AGTTAATAAATGTTTATTATATATATATATATAAGTTGTTTGCGTTTTTTCATATTAAAAAAAGACAACGTTAATTTCTTTAAGATCTAATATTTGCAAATATCTAACTATTGAAGTGCTACTCTCTCTCTCTCTCTTTTTTTATTTTTGGTAATAATTTTGAAGAACTGTATCACAATATGTTTTGGAACTAAAGTATGTAAAATTATATGTCTGCTCATCTTTTTGCCAAAAAGACTTCTTCCAGTCCTGCATAGTGAATGTGATATTGTGCAGTTTTATAAAGTAAATAATAATAGTAATAAAGCTATAGAACTTTCTGTACCATTATACCTCCATTGTTTTTTTTCAAAAAAGGATAGTAGACATGTGTTTTCTTTTTAAACTATAACTGAATAATTTTGTTCTGACTTAACCTCTGTCTTTCCTTTTGCTCAAGATTAGAATAAAAACATGTTGTTAAGACTTTTTTTTTAAGTAACTTATAAACAGTTTATTTTTATCATTAGGGGGTCACATATACATAGTTTCTTGCTGTATAAACTTTTTAACAGCAAATTTTGTTCTCCAGTACTATCCTTTAATTTTAATTTGTGGTGCTGCTTAATTCCATAAATTGTGTTTGAAATATGACTGTATCTTTTTTCTTTTTATGATTTGTGTGAAGGTTTGAAGTCCAAATCAAGCTGGGTTTGAAATTACATGTGTTATATACACTGTATTGTAACCTGATGTTGTTTGAAACAGCTAGGTAATATGAAAAATGTGGTAGCCTGCAGTTGATCATATGTAGTATTGTTAGGAAAGCTTACTAGAAACTGCTTTTTTACATGTAAAATTCAACTTTTGTAGTGGAAAGTTTCAGTACATATAAGCATAGATGTAGGAATTAATTAAAAAAAAAAAACAATATTCAGTATGTCCAGTTGGTTGCAACACTTGGAAACCTGATTCCATATTCTAAAAAGCTGAAATAATTTTATGATGATTCACACAATAGTTTTGAGTTATTTCAAGTAAAAAGTTGTAAGTAACCAAAATTATGGTCCATGTAAATTAATGAGGTTGATTACAGACTTAGAGCTAAATTATTTCTTTTGTATATGTAGCAACTGTGTAAAAACTATTGCAGAATAAAATTTTGCCATTATTTTTTTTATCTTGAAATTATTGTTTTGTATTATAATCCACTGATGATCCAAGATTTGGCCAAAGGAAGGACACTCAAAAAATATTTTTGCCGCTATGTGGAGTTTTAACATTTCTTTTCAATAAATGTATTTTATTCTTAATAAAACAACTACAATATTTACCACTGTATAATAAAATTACACATTAATATCATTATAAGCACATTAAATACAAAACTGCTTTTCCTTAACTTTAATTATTTTATAATCTTTTATCAGCATTATATCAAAAGCAATCTAAAAGTGTGTCTGACATCATATTGACCAAAATAATAATTTCAATTAATTCATAAAAATGACTTATTGTTAGGGTGATGCTTAAATTATCCTAAAATGAATATTTTAATTTTATTTCAAATTATACATATATGATCTGAGTGTGACTGATGAAATATTTAAAATTAAATCAACATCATAACTCTTTCTTACCTTTTAATTTTTTTCCCAAAAAGAAATCTTTCCTTCTCTGGATTTACCTGTGTAACCTTGACCTTCATTTTGTACTAAAATAATAAAGCTGTTGCGTGTATAATTGTCCATGAAGTTAATTGGAGTTGTTTAAAGAAATAATTTATAAAATAAATTATCTGTATCTCCAGAGCATACTATTTTGTTACTCAGTATTTTGGCTTTGTCATGTTTCTATACTACAGACATAGTGTTGATTTGTTGAACACTTGGTTTTATATTAGTGATTGCAAAACAGAGCTGTGTGTTTTTTATGTGCTTGTACTAACAACATCAAATCCACCATAATGCAGAGAATAGATTACATATATATATATATATATATATTCAAAGCATACAGTAAGTGTAATAGTATTATTACAAACCATAAGGTAAGAAGACCTTCATGTTAGGTTATTAATTTGGATCTAACGTTGTACTTGGATTAAAAATAACATCTGCTATTCATACTTCTTATGCACAGTGGATTTGTTCTTCACATTTATAAGTGCTGCAAGGTCCAAAAATCACATTGTAAATTTTGAGACTCTAGTATTATTACTGGTAGGAGTTGTTCTTGGATAAAAGTTCTTTTAAATCTGTTTTAAAAAAAATTTAAAACAAACCAAACTTAATTTTGAAAACAAGGGATATGCTATTTTAAATTCAAGTCGAAGAATAGATAATCTATAGTGCATTTATTTTTAAGAAGAAAAAAAGACTGATTAATAGAATTTGTGTTATGGAGCAGTGTTTAATATTTATATTCATAGAACTTGCTAGATCTCTGATTTAAGTTTACAATGACCATGTACAGTTGTTCCTTGTCCTTCGCAGTACAGCTGCAGTCAGTATATATTTAGTTATTCTGTTAACATTTTAGTAATTATTTACCAATTTCTTATGGATATTTACTCATGTTATACAAGTGGTAATTAGATATTATGTTATATCAATATTCAGTTTTTGTTGCTTTATGATGTACATGGTATTTCTTGGACAACATAGCAATTGTGTGGTATTATTACTTCATTGGTTTTTATTTTATGTGCGATATTTCGTATAGCGCATACTAGATCTATGTATATTTCCATCATATTAACAAGCACTGCACCTGAAAGGACAGATATTTCTCTGCTATAATGATAATAGGTAGACTAAATCAATATGAAACTATTATTATTCCTAATTAAGACAGTTCTTTAATATGCCATTTAAATTATCTTGGCATGGGAGTTACACATTTTACTAATAAATTATACTGATATTATTTTAGAATTTTTGAGATATTAAAGGTGTTTACATAGTTTTATTAGAAATCCTATGTCAAAACTGAAAACTAACAGATACAGATCATTATTCATGAATATAATTAAACATGGGGAAATATTATGACAAACTAATATGCTGAGGATTGTACAATGGAGAGATATACTCTAAAGTTATGATGAATTGTGTTACATTGTTGAAGCAAGAATAGATGTATAGTTAAAAAAATGAGAGTTAAAATGGTAGTGTGGTAAATGAATGTACTTTCCATTTCTATCTTATAGTATTTGTTATGCATATGTGCAGGTTTCAAGTAATGAATAGTTGAGAAAACCATTATGTGGACTTTGTTTTAGCTGCCTTTGTTATTTTTGAGTAGCTGATATCTGTTCTACTCATGAGGATTGTTGCAGTAGTGCCCTACAATGGTAGTTCAGGTGATATCTCAAAGTTATGACTTCACTTATTTTTGAAAGAATTTACCAGTCACATGGGTAGTGCTAGTTACTCTAGGTAAATATGGCACTGTTTCTTGAAAGTGAGGTTCATTGGATTTAGTCACTCAGGTATACAAATTTCAGTCTGATCAGTTGAAGATAGAACAACTACTAAAAGTGATTGTCTTATGTAAGTTTGGTATGTGTACTACCAATAAAGATTGTTCACTTTGATTCATTATCATGACTCAGTTAAACAGTGACATAGCATTACTTCATAACAGGTATCTTGAGTGAATCTCCTGTAATGAAGTGGACCTATTTCATTACTTTAAGGTTTATTCAGCTTTACCTGAATATATTGAAGTAATAGCATAAAGTCTTGTAAATAGGCAAGTGAATATTGGTATTCATGACTTACTATTTAATTATTGTGATAAAAATTGGAGTGTAATGCCTGAATTAGGGAGTTATGGTAAGATGCTACATTAACACAATAAATAACTTTGGATTGTGGTATATTTAACTTGCATTCAGCATGATCAAGGACAAAATGTTTAGATATCATTCCACATTTCTGTCAGATACCTATATTTGTAATTAAAATATCTTGTGTTTTGTATTTATCATAAATATATGACTGGCAAGAACAATTTCATGTTTCTAAGAAGCAATATTTCTTGATTTTAATAGTCAGTCAACTAGTGATTATGTACCCAACTTAACATTCAACTCATCATAACAATAACCAAGTAACACTGGATTATGAACAGGACCAAAATAATAATGTGTGATTTCTAAGGTTTATAACAAGGGCCTGAAGTCTCTAGCTGTATTAATTAATATCAAGCAATCTCCTAGAATAGTTTGGCATTGTTTGAATTAAGCAGTAGTTAATAAAGATCATAATGAAAAACATTTTTTATTCAGAAAGTACACCAAGACCAATTGTTACAACAAAATAATACTTTAGTGTAAAAGGATAAATTCACAATTTAAAAAATGTAGCACCTGCCATACTTTTCTAGACGTTATTATTCTAAATTTACTACCAAGCAAATTTGTTAAAATATACTAAATTACAGAACACATTTTTCTGAAAGTTTGCATATAATCACTCCAAATGAACCTAAATACAACAGAATGTCAATTTTAAACCAAACCGAAACTATTTTTGTGTCAAAGTAAAATATAGTGTATAAAAATCAAATAAATGGAGAAGTGCAAAGAATTAAAAAACAGACAAATGCAAGAAAATTTCATGACAATAAGAAATTTCTTAACTGGTTATGGTAATCTTACCTTAAACAGATTAGAACAATATGAAATCAATATATTATGTAAATTTAACATTATTCATTAAGTAAAAATTGTTCCTATTATGATTTTCATTTCACTGTCTTTCTTAGTATTAATATTATGTCACTGTAAATAAACAACTTTATTAAAGTTAATTTAATGCCTGTTTAACCTGAACTTGGGTGAGATTCAAATGCATTAAAAATTGATAATTTTGATTACAAAAAATAAGATCCAGGAGTGATTGTAACAGGACTAATATAAAACTACACGTATAAACTTCAGAAATGGGAGGTAACATTTATAACTTGTAATGAAGTTTTTAAGAACGAACTGACACAAAGGTATTACATTAAAAATCTAAAAACATGATAACTCTATGATAATACTGTCATTTATTTCATTAAAGCTGAGTGTGTAGTTTTCTATGGAAAAGTTATAAACTATACTGGCTGTTAAAAAATGTGCTCTGATCTGGTGTATGGCATGTTAAACATTTTTAAAAGTAAGTTTGACTATAATTTTAATAAGTTCTGTCAAAAACAAGAAAATTTGGAACAGATTACCTATATAGACCATTAAAATATATGAATATTCGTGGTTGCTAACATAATATAAATATGAAACATTTAAAAGTACCAACATAAACTTAAAGCTGCTGTAATCTAGTAACTACCTGCCTCTGAGCTTTATCTATGTAACCATGATATTTTAAACCTAACATTGCACATAGTTATGCATGCAAAATGTGCTTCCATACATTAGCAACAGAACAAATGACCCAAAAACAGAAACAAAGAATTCACTCTTCACAAAATACATAGCTTCAAAAAGCATCCACAGACCAGTATTTATAAGATGAAACTAACTAATGAAGGAAATACATAAAAATAAAATTATGATTCATAGCTAATGTTTCACAAATAAAAGTGCAGATTATTTACATTACACTAAAACAGATATGAAGTACTAATTCAAAAAATGGTCTAACTTATCAAACTGTAACAGTATAATAGAAAAATAACACAACCATCACATCTTACAGTGGTTATTGTCATAATAATTATGGTGAATACACATTTTTAGTTGTCATCTTAATTCTATGTACAGTATAAAATACATTTCCAAAAGGTTTTTAAAAAGACTAATAACTTACAGTGACATTCTATTGAGGCAGATCATACAAAGAAACTTTATACTTTGAAAGCACATTGTTTAATATGCACGCTTTATGTACGTTCTAATTGCAAAAAATTAATTATGAATATAAAGCAGTAATTAAGTTACTATCATAGTACAGGAAGTTCTCTTCAATATCATTGAATTGGGTTATTAATGCAGATGAGTTAATGATAATGCCATTATGTAATAATATCTAATAGAGAGTAAAACACAGTTCCATAAAACAAATTAATGAGTTCTTTTTATGTTCGTAAAAACACTAATTATTTAAGACAGACTGAAATGCTGTTAAAGTTGATATATGTTATAAAATTTCAAAGGATTTTAAACTGAGTTTATACAATTTACTTCAAAGACACAATTTAATGCAGAAAACACATCAAATTACAAGGAATTGGAAAGATACTTTTTTTTGTATAGTTAGTGGTATTATAATTTATAAACAACTACAACAGTAATATAGGTTATAATGACATAAGTAAACTGTGATGAATACAATATTATAAATATGTTTTAAAACCTTACAGTTTCCCCTTCAAAAAGATCCTTCAAAGGTCAAACTTTGCGAGGAAATATTTGTCACAAAAATATACACACTTTTTCCTCCGTGGTCCACATTTAATACCAGCTGTCTTCCATTTTCTTTTATGTCCATGTTAGCTTACCGACTCAAAAAATGAGACATTTCCTTGAAGTCATCATCAAACGAGATTAACTAATAGCTATTGTTGTTATGTTGACCTTCCTAAATATATTAATTGACAGACAAAGCCTTTGAAAGTTTTAAAGAATATATAAATGAAGATTGAATTCCAGAACAGTTGAAATTGAGTACAATATAAACACTCGTATTTCATAAGTTGCAGGTTAGATTTAGATGTCACATGGTTCAACAATTTTGTTTTTAGAATACTACTGCATCAGATTACAATCTTTTATGCTGGGAGTTTTCACAAAACTTTTTACAAATAAATAGAAAAATATGCAGTTGACTTCTACCATTCTATGGTTTCCACAAGTCTACATCAAATAAAAGCATGCATGTGTGTGTATGTTATTTATCCATTCATATATGTATGTTAATATTGAATACAAGCTATTTTCTTTTAACTCTTCAAAATTCTCAGATGAAACGGTTATGTCGTCCTCTGTAAAGTACTTCACCTTGGACGAATCTTTTCAAAGAAAAATCTCTGTCCTCCATCTTCAAGAATGCCATTCTTTTCAATTAATGTTCTTTTCTTCATAGCATGAAACTGTTTCAAAGCGAACTCATAAAACTCATTTTCCATTCTCCATATTTTAGAATTCCTAATCTTTTGAACAGTTTCTTGAGAAGGATCAATCTTGTTGTAGGTTTTTCGAAGGTGTGATTTTTTACCTGTATAACAAAACAATCACAAAAAATTATGAAATATTTTACTATCAGTATAATTTTATAGTAACTCATTAAAACATAAAACATCATGTTTCCACAGGTTCTTTCCTTTATGAAATTTTATCTTATGAAGTACTTGTACTGATAAGTAAGTAATATTGGGTTTACTTCTTTAATATAAACAATGTACAAGCAAACGGGAGAAATCCTGTGGGCAAACCTTTTCATAACAATACATGAGCTACATGTTAATTTTCATGTATTTCATATAAATGGTGACAAATCTGTGAATTTGAATACACACAATATTAAGACACTGTTCCAATATTTCAAACCATGAATTTTTAATAATTTTACACATATAAATTGAAGCTGAGGAATTAGTGGGATTTGCTAATTGATTAATTGTTGGACTCCACAATTGATTACATTCAACTGATCAGTTATTCTCACAAGAGACTTGAATAGGTGAAATAATCAAAAACAGTAATGACGAGAAACACTAATTTTGACTAGTTGATTATTTTCATGAGTCACGACACTTACCAATTAAGCTGAACAATCTTGAATTAATCAAAAATAATAACAAAAAACCACAGTGGCAATATTTTGATTATTTGGCTAGTTGGATTACCTGAAAACACTAATTTCGATTAGTTGATTATTTTTGTGACACTAATTGATTTACTCATAAGTTTGATTAACTAATTATCGGATGTGTTTGTTTGTAGTGAAGCACAAAGCTACACAATGGGCTATCTGCGCTCTGCCCACCACGGGTATCGAAACCCAGTTTCTGGCATTGTAAGTCCACAGACATACCGCTGTGCCACTGGGGGACCAGATGTGACACTAATCGATGTAAATGAATCTCGTATGAAATTGAGTATATTGATTTAATCATCCAGCTGTTATTTAAAAACCCAAAGAGTTTATCAATTTATTTACTAACTAGTCTCATTACTGCTTGAATTAATTAAACAAAAACACTAACATCCAGTAATGATAAGTACAATCAATTCATAAATGCAAAACTATTTTTCTACCATTGTTACACAGTAGGTTCAAATCAGATAGATGGTGTATTACTAAAAACATATTCAAGATACCCTGTGTTCTAAGTCTCTCATTTCTATAATCAGGACTTAAGTTTGGTTTATTATATTAACATTTATATTAAAAACCAAGCACATTATCATTAATGTCATAACATACATAATGGTATACAGCTCAATCATTTAAATTGCATTTCTTTTGTCAGAGAAGGGGGTATTATTATTTTTTACATCCACTAAAATTATCTATGAACAAAAAATTTACAAAACCTTTTTAATGAAAACAACAACAACGTTAAGAAACTATATCTCAAACTTTTAACACCATTGTATTACCTCCCTACATACAATTCTTTGAAGTTTTTCTTTTATACTTATCTCTTTGCACTAACTGAGGAACCTCTCTCTCGATGACCTTGAATTCATTGTGTGCTAGCTAGATTTTAAAGGCTCTGCTAATGTGGTACATTATATAAAGAATTTTGTTTTGAAATAGTTTTTATTGCATGTCAAGAACTTTTTTTGTATATTTGTATAAAGATACCCATTTTTAGACGACTTACATTTACCTATGCATTTAATTTTTTTAGAAAAAAAAAGGCATTTTAATTTAGTTTTGTTTATGTACTCTGATATAAATAATTACAGATGTCTATTATGTTTTTGACATTATTAGGCTACAAATCACTGCTCTGCGAGATGTTTCATCAGTGCTCTCCACAACAGTTTCCTTAATAACACTTAATCAACAGAAGTGTTTTAATGGCCAGATAAACATCCACGGAACCTTAGAGAAATATTTTCACATAATGAGGTAGAACATTGATAAAACTAATAAGATTTTTATAAGCCTGACCTTCACTAAAACTGTTTAACTTTCTAAAATTGTGGCTTTATCTAATCTCAAGTGGAGGGACAAGTCAAACTTGTATTACAAACTTGATCTTAAATGTAAAAACCAAGGGATGTGCATGAAAAATATTCTGTAGTTAAGAGGAAGCTTCTGAGATTTGAGTTCTTTACAACTAAAGAAAAAAATTATAAGTTATATAAAGAACTTTTCAGTCTAAAATATAGATCTTATTTATGGGTAAAGTAAATGTTTAAAAACATTTTTATAAATAACAATACTTTTCACTAGGTTTACCTAGCATCTTCAGGTGGCAAGTTATGAATAGAAATGTAAACCAAACTTAAACTGTCATGTATCCAATATCAGTAATATTATCATGTCATTAAGAAACAATTTCACAGAAATTAACAATTGTTATGTAAGGAAAAAAATTAAAATAAATATAATTTTACACCTGATTCACTAATGATAGCTTTTGTTTGTTTTATAAAGAGAACATCTTTAGTTTTTCTAAAACTTATTCTGTTGTTTTCTTTGTTAATGATTTTAATATTTGAAAAATCAAAGGAATGATTCTGTTTAATCATGTGCTCAAATAAATGAGAGAGAGCTTTCAAATGATCTTTCAAACTTGTTGAAAGCTGTTAGTGTTTTTTTTTTATATAAAAACTATCACAGTCTTAACATTTAATTTGATAAACTGATTCTGGTGTCCCATTGTCAACAAAATTTCCTGACAGAAACTGATATAATTTTCCCTAGTAGGAAAGAACATTTTACACAGAAATCAATATCTCAGTCTTTAACAGTTTTTGACCACATTTTCTTAATAGCATGTGAATGTTTAGGGATGTACAGCAAGCATACATTGAAGAGGAGGGTTTTCTAAATTCTTACTGTTTGTCTCTTCAATCTGTACTTCATTTTCCAAGGATGATAGTTTTAGTTACCATTTTGGAAGGATACTTATTTTATGATCTACATTGAGATTTTAGTAAGTTTTGCAAAGTTAGAAAACCCACTATGAGAAACAAGTATTTTATGCTTATGAGAAAAAATAAATAAAATTTCAAATGATCTCTATCATTTGATTTACGTTTGTGGAGGTGTGAAATTCACAGTCTTTTTTTTCTCCCATTAAGATGTTAAAAAGTGTCATTACAACCTAAATCAAAGTGAAAATGTATAGATATTACAAGTTTATTAAAAATTTTAATCATATAACATAATTAATTTGCTAAATTAAAAGGCATTTGAGAACCAATCTATAATTACCTACAGTGATTTAATTGTAATGTTACACTCTACAGAATATTTTTTGATCTGCACTTTGACAGTGTATATAGTTTTTATTTATTGGATTGCTGAAGACACAGTTAGTCATCACTTCCTACAAGCTATGCTTATTGTGTATGCTGCTGTGATCTATGAATAACTTTTCTTAGTAAGTTCATTTCAATTTTTCTTCGACGAGGCCCAAACTCATAATAAACATCAATAAATTTCAACTAAAACAAATATCTTGTATACTTAGAACTTTCCTTCAAGTTGATTCATTAATAGGTTAACATAAATAGACCATTGCAGTTTGATGATAAAATTTCTTATTAAAAGTGAAGTAATTATAAAAATGGATTGTATAATACATTTACAATTACAAGACACCCGCAACATCACTGCCGTTTAACAATGAGTAACACTTTTGTATAAAACACTTATGAATACAGTTCTTTGTTCTTCGCGAGTCTATCCAATCAGTAAATATAAACTTTTGTTCCAATTCACATACTAACTGAAACCTACTACACTTTTAATGACATTTTGTGTTATCTCATTTTTTTACACCACATTTTACTATGCCTTGTTTTACAATTAACTTATACAGCAATACTACTAAATTAAGATACAACTTTCTCCATCCCATTTGTGAAGATAATCTCCAAAAAAAAGAAGATTAACTATCCTTTATAATATCATAATACAGATCAGATTTAAACTGTACTAACCTTCAAGGAAACGCCTTGTGGCACCACGAAATAATCTAGGCAAAACAGCTTCCAACATTGCCACAAAATCTTCAAGTTCTTCAGTTACTCCAACCACCAAATAATGTTCTACTAGGTTCTGTTTTGCCTGTGTCAGAGCCCATTCATTTCCAGGTTCCCTAACAGAGTTACATTTATTATAATTATAAATCAGTGAATAGAATTAAATTTCAAGCTCTGATATCAATTGTACAAATCAAAATCTCAGCAAAAACTACTTTATTCTTTTTTTGCATTGTTTATTCGGATGTTTGTTTTAGCACATAGCTACACAATGGTTTTTATTCATTCTGTCCAACATGAGAAATCAAACTCCAGATTTTAGTTGTAAGATTGTAAACTTACTGCTGTTAACCCACCAAGATACGCATTATTTACAGTTATGATAACAAATCTCACTTTTTGAATGCTAATTATTCTCGCAAAATAGGGTTTATAGAAAGAAACTCAACTTTCTCAATCCATTTGTGAAGATAATCTCAAAAAAAAGAAAGACTAACTATCCTTTTTTATATTTAAAATTTTAGCATAATTTAAGACTTAAACTTATTGATTCATAGCTGTATAAAATAAGATTTGACTTGTACCATCATGAATTTTATATATTTATTAAGTACTTCAGTCAACATCTGTAAAGGTATAATATAGCTATCATACTTTTGATCTGAAAAACTGTCTAAGAGCAGAGGCAGTGTATTTTATAAAAAAGACTTCTTGAACAAACTTAATATCTTTTCATTCTAATAGAAAGTTATTCATATTGTAAATGCCATATTTAAAAATCAAATGCAGAAGTTAGACATACCTTAACTTAACTTAGTTTAAGATAATAACTTCTAATCTATCTCCAAAGTATAAAATTACAAAATTAAACTTAAACCTACCAGCAATCCACATGGTGCCCACAGAAAAATGGTATCTGAAGCCACATGTTTTCAGGATCACAGTCATTCTCTTGTAGTTCTACACATTCATCAAATGTCTGTACAGATAAAGAAAGCTAAGAATTTATAGTACAATGTAATGTAATAGATACGATAACAATACATCAGGTAATAACCAGTCATGATGAATAATAATATGCTATTTGTAATTTTTTGTTTTTGTGGATTAAAATAATATTTTAGAAACAAAATGAGGCTGAAACAGATACCTATTTCTTTCATTATAGCTAGTTATTTTTCTTGATATTGTCAAAATTTAGATGTGTAAATTTTCTGTCTCTTCTACTTTACCTCCTTCACTTATGGCAATGCACATACTTATATTAAGTTCCACACCCTTTATTAACAGTATCTGTAAGCCAATCACATTATTGTAAACTGAAATCACCTATAATTTGCCTTTGCATAGCATTTTGTATATTTTTATGGTCAAGCAAATGCTATATTTATCTGATACCCTGAGAATCATTTGCTTGAAATTCCACCTAGGAATAACAGTTTTATTTGGTGATTTATATTTTTTTCATTAACCCTATGTACATGAGAGGGGGCAAAGAGTGCTCTTCATGACTTTTACAGCATGCAATTCAGTGTGGTATTATGTAAGTGATGTCAGAGTTATAAACTATTCATTTTACTCTACATCACTAATATAGCAACAGTTCATGGTAGAGGAAAGTAAATACCAGATACAATATATAGGTATACTGAAAAAACTGTAGATATGCACTTTGGAGGTTCTAGAAGTCATGCAAATACAACATACAAACTGTAAGATGTTCAAAAATATTTTCATTCTTCACTTAAACATCACCTTGCACTCCAGCTTATAAGAGTCTGAATCAAACTGATGTTGTCAATTGACATAATCAATTCAATATCTTGAGAACAAATACTTTTGTAACACATCTGACATTTTTTGTGTACAATAAACTTATATGTTTAACTAAAAGCATGCCAAATTTTTTGTATATACATGTAGTAAATTCAGAATTATAGTCAACACTCATTCTCCAATATAGGGTCAGTCTATTCAACCCACCCTGTACACATCCAGTTTTCTAATCTCTTATGTGTGTGTGTTTTTAAGTCCATTATTTCTTCTGTAAGTCACTATATAACAGAAACTAGATTTAAGTGAGGAGCCAACTTGCCTAAATCCTTCACTAATGTAAAAATCCACTAGCCAGGCATCCAGGACTATTAAAATTTGAGCTTGGGCTATCATGAATTCCATACATACTAGCATATATATTACAATTACCAACTTGTAAAATGTCCAATTATTTAGTTTAACATTTATAGCACTTCTTTTTCTATACAATTATTTTTTTGCTAGAATTAGAAGTTATTTTTAAATGCAAAGTTTCAGTGGTAAGAAATGAAATTACCAAGTTAGGATGAAATTATTCGGACTAGTGTTTCTCAACCGGGATCCAGGGCAGTAAATGATAAACTTAAATCCTGGGACAGATCCTAGGATTTTCTGGTACTTACAAAACATTCTAAAACATCATTTCTAATAGTTTTATGTGTATCCACTGACTTCTATGTAAAATACTTAGCTGTTAATAGAAAATGGCTTAAATCAGTGGAGGTTGAAGAACCACCGACTGATTTTCTTAGAGAAGTGTTTGAGGCAACAGGAGAACAAACACAAAATTTGGATCTAATTTTCGATGCTTTGATGTCCATTCTGCTGACATCCATAGAGTCTGAAAGAGCAATTTCAGCTGCGGAAATATTTATAACCAAGATGCAAATGCAACCTAATGACTGCAGTATTGATTATCTTTGCTTTCTAAAGAGCTACTTTAAAAATAAAAAGATTAGTATTGTACTTGTGAGTTGATAACTCATGATGCTTGTTTTGTTGTGTTTCTCTCACATTTGTTTTGCAAAGGCTTTTTTTATTTTTCAACAAAATATTTATCTGTTTGCTTTTCTTTTGTAAAAGAAGAAATTCTTATTTTGAATGGGATATTTAACTTATAAGGTAAATGCTAAATATATAAATTTTAGCTGTTATAGTATGTGGAAGTACTCTTTAAATAAAATTCTATTGGAACTGTTCTATTTTCATACCTAAGTAGTATAGCTAACATTGCATATTGAGATTTATCTTTATTTGTCCATATATACGTACTTAAAATAAAATGGGAAATCCCGGGATGATAACCAATTGTGTCTCAGAAAATGGGGACAGTGAAAACCCTTGGAAAGGAAAAACCCTAGCTTGGACTGCCCACTCAGAACTCTATTGCCTTTTTCCTAGGGATGACAGAGGAGGGTGAGATGTTCTGAATGTCGAAATACTATGGAAAAAGTCACTGCAACGAATATAGATATGTATATTTTTGGTAATAATTTAGTCATTACTGTAGAAAAAAAAAAAATATATATATATATATATATATATATA